GAGGAGCGTGTCAGGCTACATTTCACTGTGTGTTATACTTGTATAACTATGCATGTGACAAATAAAGAACCTTGACCTTGACCTTGACCTTGACCTTGAGGTGTTGTATATTGTAAATTCAGGTCTTGCTGAGAACTGGCTTCACAACAGAGGAGCCTGCTAGATGATGGCATTTCTTACTCTCTTTTTTTGGAAACTCCAGGAACCACAAGTAAGCCTGCACTCTGAGAGAGTTTAAGACACGATGGAGCTTGCATAGTCAAATTATTTTAATTCTGGCTTTGAGGCCTTTTTTCATATGACAGGGAAGCAGTTTAGAGTCTATAATCACTGTTAAAGAGCATATCCTGGCCAAGTCAGATTCTTTAGTTTAGTCTGAATTAAGAGACAGAAACATAGTGGTGATCCAGACCTTTATGTTTTCAAGCTAATTCTATAGTTTAACTATTTGATTTGATCTGACCTCATGGATAAACACAACTGAGTATCATTTGCATATAGGCATACAACTGTTTGCTTTGTTTTCTAATAACATTACCAGTGCCAAGCATGTATTACTTGGAAAGAATTTTAAGAAGTGAGCCCACTCCTTGTTGCACGGCCCTTCAGGTTCTCTGTCTGCCCTGCAAGCACTACAAGCCATTTGTTCTCAGTTTGATGACAGTCCCCACCAAGGCCTTTCCCAAACTGCAGTCTCAGTTCATGCTCAAACCATCTGACATCATTTACTATAAATCTGTTACGGCCTCCGGCCTCAGGTGGCCCCGCCTTCCTCTAGGTAAATCAATGTGTTCCAGGACTCGTGTGTGATTGGTTACTGGGAGACCCGTGCCAACCCTCTCTTATGCAGAATGAAGTGTGCCAGACCACATGGACGATTGGCTGCCCCGGGATCCCATGATGCTCCAAGAGGCAATCAGTGGCTGATCGTACCCACCTGTGGCTACAAAAGGCTGGAGGACCTTCACTCAGTGGCTGCTGCTTAGGACTGAACATGCAGTTTGCCCTTCGTGCCTCCCTCGTTGATCTTTGTTGAACTTATTCATATTGCTGAACTTTGTCGAACCTTGGTGCATGCTTTAAACTTAGCCTGATTAGAGTTTTGAGCTGCTAGCTGGCTGTGAGTAG